TTTAGTACCCCGGTGCATTGTGGGACAGAGTACCTAGTGCAGTGTGCAATTGCATTGTGGGATACAGTGCCCAGTGTAGTACTTCATCCAAGTACCCATGCAGAGCTCCATGTAGTGTGCACAGTGTGATTAGTATGCTAGTATGGCATTTTGAGCACAGCCTGAATCAGTGCAGCAGGAGCTGCAGGTGTGTGCCGTCACTGGAAGCCAGAAGATCCACTGTGACTTCAACAAACACAAGTGAGTGTTTTTATCTCTACTGTGAACAACTGTGCGCGCTTCGGCTCAGGAAATGTAAACTGTTTCCCATGTTTGTTGGGAAGTGATTGATGATGTTCCTGCAGACGGCAGGTCACTGCACGCAGGCGGCGTCACGTCATTATATCTGTGAGTTTATTTCTTAAAGGAGCAGTTCTGCCCTCATGCACTTCTTTCTTCTTAGTGTTTTTGTTAGTGCTGTGGTGTGTCTGTGTGATCAGTAACACGTGCAGTGTGAACATGTGTGTCCCGAGAACACGCTACACTGAATTACATTTAATCATCAAGCCTTTTTCCAAATATACAAATGAAACAATGTCTTATTATTATTGTAATGTTGGTCTACACAGCTGTGATGTGTGATGTAGTTTTGTGTTCTGTAGAGTTGATTTATAGCTGAAGATGATCAACTTTGAGACTGTTATTGAACTGAATTGAGCAGAATAATGAAACCATTGTTTTTTTCTGAGCTCTTTGTACTGTAAATGATGAGTTTTACATCATTAACAAAGTTATTTTCCTATTATATTAATGTGAAGTAATAATGTTGTTGAGCGCTAATAGAAATAACCGTGACTTGCAGGTCGATGCGAACACTCAACTTTAAGACTTGGCTGTTAACATGACACCATTTTCAACAAAAAACGTAGGCGTTTTGGCCGTTTATTTACATGACGACGGCGTTTTGGGCGCCTAAAACACAAACTTTTGAAAATGGGTTTTAAAGTGCAAGTTTTTGAAAACTTCTGCATGTGAAGAACAAAAACATGAATCTATGAAAACGATGACGTCATGCACTTTCGTATTACGTGTTCAATCTGCAGTGTTTCATCGCCATCTAGTGGCCGGGCAGCAGAACACAGCGTTTTTAGCGTAACTCAGTGGCGTAGGCAGAAATTGTGTTTTGGGTGGGCCAGTGAAAATGTGAGCCATAGTTTTTCATAGAAAAAAAAATTACTTCAATAATAATTAACCTTAGAGAGTAGAAACATTAATGGACAAACTGCAAAAAACAGAGCTCAATAAAGGCCATCTTTTTTACAATCTATGTAAAGACGAGAGCAACAGATTGTCGACGTGGGGCTCTTGAGCTGGTGTTCATCATCAGGGCTGGTTCTGATTTCCTCGAGAGAACTGTTTGCAGCTCCAGTCATTATTCTGCGATCTTGAAAAGTCCAGTCAGAATATTTCAGCCTCATGAATGCATTACTGACAGATCCCATAAAGCTGTGATGATTTGCGTTGTGTGTGTGAGTTAACGTCCCTCATTGATGGATCACCTTCTCAGAGTGCTGAAACATGTGGTCTGTCTGTGTACCTCAGAAAACCCTGAATGAAGGAGTCAGGCCTGAAGGATTCACTCCTCAGCAGAGAAACGCCATATAATCTGTCCAAGAACTATTATAGTACTGCGAGCTTCAGGGTCGACCATACAGCTGGCGCCAGCCGCGACGCGAGTGTTTTTTGCTAGTTTCAGCTCGATGCAGTTTTCATTCTCGCGTCCTGCACCACGTCGTTTAAAGGATAATTCCGGTATTTAGCACTTTGAGTCTAGTTTCTAGTTTGTTTTGGATGAATTCGAGTTGTGGACACAGACATGTTGACGATGGTCTCGACTTTTAGACTCTTTTTGACTCGCGATCTGTGCTATTTTGGAACTATTTTTTCAGAGACAATCACAACTGCGGATAAACTTCCGCTCGATATTAGCACACTCTCCCGACCACTTTTCCTGTAGCGCAGTAATATCAACGAAATCAATGCGATTACCGATTATCCACAAGTTTACTACGCCCCATGAGGCCTTGCGTCAAAAGTGGGCGCGACTTCCGGTTGGAAGTAAACAAAGCACGATTTGACATGCTTGACACTCGTTCATTCAATAGTTGACAGTCATTCAAGTTATAGCGATCCAAACTAGCTAACGATGTGGGAACACAACCTCAACGAAATTAAAAAAGGTGAAATAACAGTACCTTTACCCTCCGCAGTAGTTGATTGGGAGTATTATAATAACATTATTAATAATCAATACTCATCAAGGCATGGTGACAGACAGATGTGCGAGCTGACAAACAATTAAAATAAAAAATACACACTTAGTCATTGTGGTTTGGAGTTTATTCAAAATTATAAATGAATGTGCTACTTGAATACATTAACTGGCACATTTGGTATTCTGTCAACACAGGCTTTGATCCTGAGTAGGTGCAACATGTAGTGAACAGCCAAACACATGCTGATAAAAGTTTATAGAATATTAAGAATTTAAACAAATGTACACAGGAAGATTCGTCGTCTTTTGGGAGGTGATGGAAACTACAGTCGTTGGCAGGATCATTTTGATTTCGTTTTCAGCTTATGTTAAAAACAATCACGTTTAAGCCACTGAACTAGTTTAGTCCGGTTATACATACAACCGCGAACAGCATGTTGTCCATGAGCTCCGTAACGACATCTCTCATAAAGATTTGCGTCTTTAAATAGTAAAATAATTCTCCGAAAAACAGCTAGCCTCTTCGCTAACTAACACACAAAATACCATTGGAATGCTACTTCCGCCGCCTCACCGGAAGTTTCACCCACTTTATTTTTTACAGGAGCGCCCCTCGGAAACTTGTGGATACAAAAACGTTATTTCGTTTCTGAATATTTCAATAATTTTCTGTAAAATAAAATTCAGTCATTTCTATAACAGAACCGGAAGACAATACAATGCTGAATAAAGTCGTAGTTTTTGTTATTTTGGACCAAAATGTGTGAACGGAGCTTCCCAGACAGCAAACTGACATTGAATCAACGTGGAAACGACGTCTCTCATGACATTGAAACAACGTTGATTTTGCTCATCGAATTAACGTTGAACCAACGTCAGACGCGGCATTGTTCAAAGCTAAATAAAAATCGAAAATTGGTTTGGTTTCATAACGTTGAAACAACGTTGATTTTCCGTTAGTTTTGAAAGAATGACGCGTCTGACGTTGGTTCAACGTTAATTCGATGGACAAAACGATGTCAGATCAACGTTGTTTCGATGTCATGTTTCCACATTGATTCAATGTCAGTTTGCTATCTGGTATGAGGGAGAGTCATTAATGACATCATTTTCATTTTTGGGTTTATGCGTTTTGCTCTTCCCTCATATTTAAAATCTTTACAAATATAAAGTTATGATGGTTTAACTTGTGTATATGGTCATTAAAAACAAATCGCATCACTTTTGGCTATTACTGTATCTGTATATCTCAAACAACAATAACAACAAACACCTTCAGTATTTTAAGTACTTTTAAAATTAAGAATTATTAATTACTTAAGGAAGTTTTCAATCTGAGTTTGAGCTTCTGAAAACGGTTATGTATAACTGAACAACAAGGGACAACATTATTATGATATAATTTTTTTAATTTTATTTCTTGATTGATACTTCTATACACGGTGCATATGTACAATAATAAGTTATATATACACTTGAATGGTTGTATTAGTTGCATTGATCCAGGTGCTCTGCCATAAACATGTTGATGAGGTTGACGTGGCCTTTACGAGGTTTAACATAAAATAAAACATTGATACTCTATACAGATATATAAGTGTGGGTCATGAGGAAGGGAAAACAACAAACATGATGCAACGACTGACCAGTCTGACCGTGACACTATCTTTGGGAAACTGGAGACCTGCTCCATTTCTGACATCCAAACAACAGTTGAATTTCCAACAAAATGTCTAATTCTACCTTTCCGAGTGATTAAGTGAAAATCATGAGCTGTGTGGAACATGTTAAGCAGGCATATAATGGCACAAAGTAATTAAACATTGTTACAGAGTGGCAGATCATTAAAACAGGGTCACCCGCGGCTCACCGGAGACTTTTCCCCTGGTTTCTACCTTTCGCATGCAGTTAAACTTTTACACAGCCGCCTCGGCTTCCCATCGACACTTTATGGCTTTTCTGTTTGGATTATTAGTTAATGAGGTGCTGGAAATCACAGGCACTTTGAGTCATAAACCTCCAATTCCAGACAATTAGTCCCAGCAGCAGCGGTTAGCCCCAACACACACACACACACACACTCTCTCATACACACACTGTTCCACAGATTTATGTTTGTGTCAGTCTGACATGCAGTTCATTGAGTCCATATTGTGATTGAGACTGAAGCAGATAGTGAGTTTAGATGTGGGTCAGAAACACACACACACACACACAACGCAACGACATGTGACGTGTGTGTTAAACAGCTTTCTTCAGGTCTGTGACATTAATGCAAGACACTACAGGCTAAACCATTGCTTTTACATGCACTGCTCAAGTCTTGAGGAAAGAAAACATTTATTTTATTGCACTTTATCTATGTGCGTCTATAGGTCTACGTTTCAGTCCGCATCTTTAAATGCGGTGAGAAATCTCCACTCGATGTTACAAATCTATATTCTGAAGGTTTGTTCATATATCAGTCGCCTGATTTATACAATATTTTACTCCTACAAACATAATCAAATGTATTTTCTTCTGTTGACAGTGTTATCTGATTTCTGATGAAAAGAGAAATCCAGAATCCCGTCTTTAAAAACCTTTAACTCTAATATTTCAACGCAAATTAGAGCATTTTTAATTAGACAATGCTTCATTTGCATATTTAAATTTGGTTTACTTAAAATGTTATGAATAAATATAAAGTAATAATAATAAAAAATGTGTTGCTTTTGCACAATAAACAGTTTCCTGATGATGATGATGATGATGATGATGATGATGTTTGAGGCGCGTGTTTTAAACATAACATTTCAGAGAAGAAAACTTGTACTACACAACAGTACACAACTCATAATTGACTTTTTGTCCATTTTGACTTTCATAATTTGAACTTAGTATGTAAATTATGACTTTTATATCATAATTTAGACTTTTCATTTGAATCTGTATGGCTGGATCTATTAGTTAACGTGTTTTACCCTCTTCACCTGTAGTGTCTTGCCTTAAAACACACATTACAACAGATCCAGACCTCGAACACACTTTCTCCAGACTGTTCTTGCAGTAAAAGTGAGATGTCGGGACCGTAGAAGAGTGTTTTGTTGTGTTACTGAACGTCCACTTCAGTCAGAAACACACTGACCGGTTCAGGTGTGGTCCAGATCTGATTCTTCATGTATTTGGATTCATCTCATTTCGAGTCTTTGTAGCCATTTCCAAAATCTTTGTCGTCAGCACATGACCAATTAATACTAGAACTTACTTTTCCTATTCTATACTATTCAATTATTATTATTATTTTTTTCTGATTTAAAAAAGGAAGAAAAAAATAACCTTGCTACGTGTGCTAGACGAACTGAGACTTGTTACAGCTCTTGTATTGTAACAGAGTACTGTCCTCATTTGTTAGTCACTTTAAATGTCAATGTGTGTGTGTCAAACGGGATTCAGGGTGTGAATGTGTCCGCCGCTGTCCTCCGCGCCCTGAGGATGTTGTCTTTATGTGTGTGCGTCAGACACTAGCGCAGCGGGACGTCAGCGTGTGATGGTGTCCTGATGCAGGGCCGCTGTCCTCGGGGCCCGCGAGGATGTCTGAGCACAGGGACTCGACGGCGTCCAGCCGCTGGATCTGCACGAGGCGGGTCAGCAGGTCCGGGATGCTGTAACCCGCGGTGCTGACGCGGTCGAAGAGCTGCATGCCGTCACTCATGCCCCCGATCTCGTCCCGCTTCAGCCCGAAGCTCTCCGCCAGGTGCCGCCACGTCTTCACCACCGCTTTATCTGCGCTGTAGGTGGAGCTCAGCATCCGGCTGGTGCGCTCCAGACAGTCGAACGGCAGCTCCGTCGGGCTCAGACCTGCAAGATCAACACCATTGACAGCTTGATTATCATCAGAGTAAAACACTTAAAGGGTTAGTTCACCCAAAAATGAAAATTCTGTCGGTATTTACTCACCCTCATGTTGTTCAACCCCGTAAGACCTTCGTTCATCTTCGCAACACAAATTAAGATATTTAAGTTATTAAGATCACTCCTGCATACTAGTCCATAGGCTTCTTGAGGGAATGACAATTGATGGCCTCAAAGTCATTAAAGACATCGTTAAAATCATAAAGGCTAGATGTGTTACGGCGGAGTTTCCATCGTCATCACCGGCGGCCATCTTGTCACAGACAAGCTGATGTAAGATGAGTGGTCGGCACGAACACAAATACTCTTATCTCGTTGAAATCTTGACGGATTTACAAACGGTTTGGTTTCTTACAAACGTTATCAACGTGGCTATATTTATCTGGATGATTATTTATTTATACACTTTTTATTCATAAGTGTCATAACTACATCTCTGACGTTTACAACAAAAACCGTTTGAAAATCGGTAGAAAATTGAGCAAGTTATGGTCATTTAAATAGTACGTGTACCATTAACACAATGTTACGAGTGAGCGAGCTGCCTGTGACAAGATGGCCGCCAGGTGCAGACGTCGACCTCCATTGGCCAGCAGCGTGGACGATATATCTAGCCTTTATATAGATATCTATGGTTAAATAGTCCAAGTGACTACAGTGGCTCAATCTTAACTTTATCAAACGGCGAGAACACTTTTTGTGCTCAAAAAACAACAAAAATAACGACTTTATTTCAACTATTGGTTTATTTCTCCCTCTGCGCGAGTCAGGTTACTAGTTTAATAGCGTAAGCTTCTGTTATTGTACGTCACACGCATCACACACATGACCAGCGTCGGCCAATAGTGAGCCTACGTGTGACGTAGCTTTACGCAATCACACTACGCTAACTGACTACAGGCTCATGGAGAAGGAAGTGAATAGTTGAAATAAAGTCCTCATTTTTGTTGTTTTTGCGCACAAAAAGTGTTCTCGTCGTTTGATAAAGTTAAGATTGAGCCCCTGTAGTCACTTGGACTATTTTAACGATGTCTTTAATGACTTTTTCGATGCCATCAAGAGTCATTCCCTCAAGAAGCCTATGGACTGTATGCAGGAGCGATCTTAATATCTTAAATATCTTAATTTGTGTTGCGAAGATGAACGAAGGTCTTACGGGGTTGGAACAACATGAGGGTGAGTAAATACTGACAGAATTTTCATTTTTGGGTGAACTAACCCTTTAATTATGAATCTTCATGATTTAGTGTATTGTTTAATATAGAGTGGTGTAAACTTTATTTGTCCCGATGGATGAACACAAATCGGCCTCCGAGCTGCAGATGAAGTGTGTAGTGAGTGTGTGAGTGTGTTTGCAGCGCAGTAGTGTCACACACTCACCGTCCGCAACACTGCAGGCTTTAGTGTACAAGTCCAAGATCTTTTTCCTTCTGCTGTGAATCTGTGGAAACAGGGAATGTTTGATCAGGGGAAGTCCTCCACACACACACACACACACACACACACACACACACACACGTAGAGCTCAGCATATACTTCATTCCTCTCAAACATTCATTCTCTGAACTCCATAACGAATAGGGTTGGGTATCTTTTGAATTTGAACGATTCTGATTCCGATTCCTTGTTTCGATTCCGGCTCCTAACGATTCTCGATTCCGATTCTTTTAAGAGGCAGGGTCAAAAAAGTTTAGCTAACCTTGCTAACCAACGGTCTTTCTGAAGGAAATACTCCTTCTGTCACAAATTTTGCATTTTGCCGAGATTTCGTTATTTTTAGAAAAGTGAAGACCGCCGCGCCGACGTAAGCTACTCATGTTCGACTCGCGCGGTTATGCCAACACTTCCGGTAGACGCTTCTTCGTTGGTGTTGTTCAGCGGTTTCTTCTTCCGCTCGGCGGATTGTGAATATCGAAACTAGGAATCGAAATTTTAACTTTTGAACGATTCCGGGAAAAAAGGAAAAGTTAGTCCCGATTCTCGATACGCAACCCTAATAACGAAATTATTACAACATAATAAACTGACGAAAGTTGAAATTATGAGTTAGTCGAGACCCATGTTGAATCAAAATTATGAGATAAAATGATGAAATCCAGAAAAAAACTGAGATTCGACTTGAATGTTAATTTTTGTAAAAAAATATGTCAAAATCACAATTTTGACTCCGTTTTGACTTAGTATGCCAATTTTGATTTTTAAAATTTTTAAATTTAAACTTAGTCCACTTTTTTTGGAAATAGGCTCATTTTACCACACCCCCATATAGTTAAACAGTCGGGTTTTACCGTTTTCGAATCCATTCAGCCGATTTTCTGATATTTAGAAGAATATCAGTAAACAGACAGTTTCTGGTCTCATTGACTACCATAGTATATTTGTTCGCTACTATGGAAGTCAATGAGACCAGAAACTGTAAACATAATTTAGACTTCATCTCAGTTTTGACTCTTCTCTCATAATTGACTTTTTGTCCATTTTGACTTTCATAAGTTGAATTTAATAATGATTAAGTATGTAAATTATGACTTTTTATATAAATTTTTAGACTATTCTCTCATACTTGACTTTTTGTCGATTTTGATTTTGAATGTCATATTTCAACTTGTCAATTTTTACCTTTTATCTAAATTTCGACTCTAACCCCATAATCCACTTTAGTATGTCATGATTATGACTGATGTCAATTTCAAGTGTGTGTCATAATCATGAATTTGTGCATCATAATTCAGACCGTCAGTGTTGACTTAGTATGCCAATATCATCTTTGAATGTCAATTTCGATTTTATTTCAATGAATTTATTTCCCAAGTTTGACTTTTTTTTCCTCAATTTCGACTGCCGTAATTTCTTAAAAAAAAAAAAATTAAACTTTTAATCGTAATTAATTTTAGACTTCATGTAAGTTCCAACTCTTCTCTTATAACTGACTTGGTCATAATTACAGCTTAGTAAATCATAATTACAATTTGTCCATTTTGACATTTCACGCCAATTTCAACTTAGTATGTCATAATTATGTTTTCTGTCAGATTTGACTTAGCATGTCATCTTCGTCTTTGAATTTCAAAACTTTGTCATGAATTCAGATATTACCTAAAGTATAATAGAGTTATCTGAAGTAATTTTACTTCTCCAATATATGTATCTTGACTTCATGCACTGATAATGGTGTGTGTGTGTGTGTGTGTGTGTGTGTGTGCGCACTGACCCCGGTGGCTCTGCTGCAGTTGTTGTTGTTGTTGATGGTGTGTGTGGAGCAGGTTTTGTCGCGTGTGAGATGCACCAGAGACAGAAGGCACAGATCCGCGGTGCCCTGCTTGTCCTGCGCTTGTTCCTCGTCGCTGTCGATGCTGCGACTCAAGAGCTGCTCGTTCTCAGACGACGCGTCGTTCTCACTGCAACAGAACAAGCGACAGTGTTTCAGACGACCACACACCACACACACACACTAAACCTGTCATGTTCTCTTGCGTTCGGGTGCTGGTGTGTGTGTGTGAGACGCTTTTGGAGGGAATTAAAGCAAATCATTCTGAATTTCTGACTCCAGCGTTTCAGAAACACCAAACAAAAATTCGAGACGCTGCGATGCCATTGGTCCGCTGGTTACTCCAGTTATCCAATCACAGCCTCGTTTTTTGCTGATGTGAAACGTACCCTAAATTATAGAATGACTCATTTACTAATTACATCTGCTATTATTATTTATTTATCAGTCCTTCCAGAAAAAGTGTTTTTTTGTGATTGTTGCGGGCAAAAATTGATTGATTACGCGGCCCATTTTCTTTAAAAATGCGATGGAATATGCGGGATATTTATGCAATGAAATTGCAGGAATTTGCAAAAATTGAGGAAACTTGCAAAAATTGCGGTTTGATGAAAAAGAGAAAAAAAGTCATTCCCCCAACATCCTGTTCTCACTAGGCTAATGTAAGAGTCATTTCTTATCACTTCCTTTGATAAGCAAGCATACTACATCATAGAAAGTGCTGAGAATATTTAATTTCTCATCTTGTTTTATTTCAGACTGTAACGAGTGTAAATAAGGTGTGGCCCCTTTAAGAGCTGCGCGCTCCCTGTTGAACTCTCTGCAGTGTTATGTGTGCGTGTAATTTCTGATTGATAATACTTCTTTTATCTTATATTGTTTATTAAGTAACGATGTGACGGTAGAACGTGTGACAGACAGTTATACGAGTTCGATTTGTGAGATGTCAATCGCCTCCGTGAGTCTGTCTGGCGTCGCGTAATTGCGTCACTTCATAACGTTCCCATGGAAACAGGGGGAAATGGCTGCTCTTGTGTGAAGCAAACGCAACATTTTTCAACTTTCTGCTAAGATACATGTGACTTTTTTTGCAACGAAAATGCGAGGATATGAAATTATGCAAACCCCGCATATTTAGCACGGAAATCTGCAATTTATGCAGCGAAAGTGCGACGTATTTGAAAAAAATGGGGCCCCCGCATAAATATGCGGACTTTGGCTGATTTTGCATTGAATTCAGCGATCGCATAATCGCGTTTTTCTGGAGGGACTGATTTATTTTTAATGTTAATATTAACTAATGCATCATCTAATGGTAACACTTCAGAATAAGTTGATGTTGGTTAATGAATGATTATTTACATTATTGTGATGTCATTCCTCTGAGTAAGACTGATGAAGAGCCTGATCCTCTTCTTCTTGTGGTGTATCTGCTCTGACTAGCCTGTTGTTTCCAGATCCCCGGAAGAGCCCCCGAACACAAAGACGGCTCAGAGACGCGCACAGAACGTCATTGTTTTCAGACACTCGATACACTCGCTGGTTTGGCTCACGTCTATAACACTCATATATTAGATCATCTAGTAATGCAGGTCTCATTTAACTAGCGTTTAGTTCACGAGACCCTCACGACGCCGTATTAAGGTATGATATATAATGTTAACAAAACATTTAAAATGCTAACTTTGATATGACATGAATAGTCTTGGACCCAAAGCATAGACAATAGAGACACCAGAATAACAATATTCATGAATCTGAAAAACACACAATTATTATGCTTGAACTGTATTTAAAATAATGTAAGCCACTTATTACTGGTAACATCAGACATTTGGCATTATCATGACGCATTGCATTATTATACATCATATTAAACATTACTTATAGTACTCTGAAAACTTACATTTTTCTCACAGTTATTTTTATTAGGGTGAACTATCCACGTTTGTATTGCGATATATTGGAGTTTTCAAGCTTCTGCTGCGCCTCTGAAAAGGTTTGAGGCGTAAAGGTGTCATCTTATGTTTTTGAAGCAGAAGTATTTCCACCTGGCGGTGTTTGGCTGCGCCGCCGCGTAATTATCACACGCTTGATTGTGTTTGTCTGAGATAAAGATGAAGATCTCCTCAGGCTGGATCTGTGTTCATCGCCCTCATCCGTGTGTGAGACACATAATGTTTCCAGTCCGCCTCGCTGCTCAAACACGTCTTGCGGTGGCGGAGAGACTGGCACATTGTGTGCGATCCGAGGCCTTTAAAGGAGTAGTTCACTTTTAAAAAAACTTTTGCTGATAATTTACTCACCCCCATGTCATCCAAGATGTCCATGTCTTTCTTTCTTCAGTTGAAAAGAAATTAAGGTTTTTGATGAAAACATTCCAGGATTTTTCTCCATTTAATGGACTTCAATGGGAACCAAACGGTTCAAGGTCCGAATCAGTTTCAGTGCAAACTGTTCAAAGGGCTTTAAACGATTCCAGACGACGAATAAGGGTCTTATCGAGCGAAACGATCGGTCATTATAAAAATAAATAATTATTTAGAAAAAAATAATAATTTGCTGATGCGTGTTTGTGACTTTGAATCTTTTTTCGAGTCATTTGGTTAATTCAGCGAAGGAAATGACTCGAAAAAAGATTCGTTCATTTTGATGAACAAGTTCGAACAGGAGAGTCACGAACGCACATCACAGAACAGAGCAAGGCGACCATTTGAGCTTATAAAACTTACACTTTTGTATTTATTTTTGTAATGACCGCCCGTTTCACTTGATAAGACCCTTATTCATCGTCTGGAATCGTTTAAAGCCATTTGAAGCTGGACTCAAACTCTCATTAGGACCTTGAACCATTTGGACCCCATTGAAGTCCATTATATGGAGAAAATCCTGGAATGTTTTCATCAAAAACCTTAATTTCTTTTCCACTGAAGAAAGAAAGACATGGACATCTTGGATGACATGGGGGTGAGTAAATTATCAGCAAAAGTTTTTTTTTTTTTTTTAAGTGAACTACTCCTTTAAAGGGGCAGTCTGTAAGATGACAACTAGTGGTCGAAATTAGGGATGCACCGGATGTTTGGTTACTGAAATTATTCGGCCGAAAACAGCAAAAAAATAAGTAAAAAGGTTGAATAAATTTTACCAAATGATGCTTTTGATGAAGCATTCATATATTAACTGTAAACTGCAAAAGTAGGCTTATGTCTAGGACAGTTTGTTGTTGTAGTCATACAGAGTTACATTCTTTCAGCAGTCAGTTATTATACGCCTATAGGCTTTTCAAGAAGGAGGGCTTCAAAGATGGCCAAATAAAAATATAGCTTTTATTTTACTTATTTATTTTAAAGGGACTGTGTACTTTTTAGGTATTTTATTATCCAAAATCAATATTTTTATTCATAAATGAAAGTTAAATAAATTAAAAGTCAGCAAGTGTATACAGACTCACCTCTTCACTGGTTTTGGAGACGAAGGCTTGAGCTTATCAAATTCATCCTTCTCTGCAAAGATCACAACGTTTTCTGGAAAGACAGTGATTAAAGATCAGCGACGTTCTCAATCATCTCAGATCAGATCAAGAACATGAAAAGGGCCAAAATATTAGCATGAGAACTATATTACCAATGTTAATGTGAAAGAATGAAATATCATGGTGGAAAATAGAGCTGCATGATTTGGGAAAAAATGTAATTGTGATTTTTTTTTTTTCTGATAAATTTAGAATGTGCAATTAAAAAACAACCTGTTTGTCGAGCTGCTCAATTTGGCCAAATTTGGATAAAATGTATATCAATTTGGTTATAAAATAATAATAATAATAATAATAATGTTAATTATGACAATTATAATATTGATAATAATAATAATAATGTTACTTATATTAAGAATAATAAGAATAAGAATGTTAATACAATAATCGTAACAACAAAAATGTTATTAATAATTATAATGTTAATAATAATATTAATAATAATGTTAATTATAATATTAATAATAATGATGTTTATTAAGATAAAAATAATGTTGTTTATAATTATAATAATATTAATAATGTTCATAATAATACAATAAAAATAATGTTCATAATATTAACAATCATTTTAAAAATAATAATGATGTTGATAATAATAATAATCATGAATATTATTATCATCATTATTAAAATATATATAAATTATATTACTATTGCAATATTTCACTGTAAAAAAAGAAAAGAAAAAAATAATAATATATATATATATTAAATTAAATTAAATTGCAGCTGTAGTAATTTAATAGTTGTATCAAGCAATATCATGAGTTTGGTTTTATTTTGATTAATCATGCAGCCCTAATGAATATCAACATTTAAAAAGGACAAATTCACCAGAAACAGCGCTGAAAGTTAAAGAGTAAAGCAAAAGAATAGCAGATTCAGAAGGAATGTTACTGTAAGTCACAATATTAATCCGGTTTCAGACGGGATGAGCGAACACCTCCTGTACAGGCGTTAATCCCCACGCTAATCCCACCGGATATTCTCGGCTAAGCCACTTATAATAATAATAATAACAGAATACATGTGCGATCGGCTCATGTACTCGCAGCTGTAATGCGGACGTCCACTTCACAGAGGAGAACACAACATTTATTAGCTTTAGTTCCTGTAGTTCACTCAGACTTTAATGTGTTGGTGCGTAAACAGCTTATATTTTTATGCATAAAAGAATGCATAATTCATGCATACAACTCCAATGAACATATTTTAACTGGACGGCACTGCTTTTAATGCAAAAAGACAAGTTTTTATTCAGAGAAATGTTACACCGATGGATTTAAGAATGCATTTTTTTGTCCTAAAATTACTTTATTTCTTTATTCACACTGGTTTCTACGGTACGGAGGCGTATTGCATTTACTTGAAGAAAAAAAATCTACTCTGTTTTTCTAAATTAACGAGTTAATTTTTCACGAGAAAAAAAAATCGCTCTGTTTTTCTGAATTAATGAGTTAATTTTTCATGGATTTTTTTTTTTTTTGCTCTGTTTTTCTGAATTAACGAGTTAATTTTTCATAAGAAAAAAAAGTTTTTGTTCTGTTTTTCTGAATTAATACGGTGGCGTATTGCATTCACTTGAAGAAAAAAAAAATCTACTCTGTTTTTCTGAATTAACGAGTTAATTTTTCATGAGAAAAAAAATGTGCTCTGTTTTTATGAATTAACGAGTTAATTTTTCATGAGAAAGAAAATTGCTCTGTTTTATGAATTAACGAGTTAATTTTTCATGAGAAAAAAATGTGCTCTGTTTTTCTGAATTAACGAGTTAATTTTCATGAGAAAAAAAATCTACTCTGTTTTTCTGAATTAACGAGTTAATTTTTCATGAGAAAAAAAATGTGCTCTGTTTTTCTGAATTAACGAGTTAATTTTTCATGAGAAAAAAAATCTACTCTGTTTTTATGAATTAACGAGTTAATTTTTCATGAGAAAAAAAATGTGCTCTGTTTTTATGAATTAACGAGTTAATTTTTCATGAGAAAGAAAATTGCTCTGTTTTTCTGAATTAATGAGTTAATTTTTCATGAGAAAAAAAAAATTGCTCTGTTTTCTGAATTAACGAGTTAATTTTTCATGAGAAAATTTTTTTTGCTCTGTTTTTCTGAATTAATGAGTTAATTTTTAATGGAATTTTTTTTTTTGCTCTGTTTTTCTGAATTAATGAGTTAATTTTTAATGGAATTTTTTTTTTGCTCTGTTTTTCTGAATTAATGAGTTAATTCAGAAAAACAGCAAAAAACTTTTTTCTCAAGAAAAACTAACTCATTAATTCAGAAAAACAGAGCAAAAACTTTTTTTCTCATGAAAAATTAACTCATTAATTCAGAAAAACAGAGCAATTTTTTTTCTCATGAAAAATTAACTTGTTAATTCAGAAAAACAGAGTAGATTTTTTTTTCTTCAAGTGAATGCAATACGCCTCCGTAGGTTTCGCCATTAATATTAATTAAAAAAATTATAAATAATAATAAAGTGTGCTATGTATTTCAACTCATTTACACAGAGAACAATAACTATAACGATAACGATATTAGTCTTATTTTATTGTTCATCAGCTGGAAAAAAAATAGTTTCTCTGTGCAGTTTTCATAATTGTAAGTGTGGACTGATTCGAGCGACTGATTGATCTCTAAACGAGTGCAGTGACAGTGAGTGAAACTGACATTTCTGCCATGTAATTTTGAGGGTTTTTTCTCCAGGATGAATGTATAGACGTGTAGCCGTCGGCGAGAACGCTACATTCGTGATTATCCCTCTATGATGAGCATGTTTTTAGTGTGTGTTGTTGCAGTTTGAGCATGAAAAAGTCAGCGGGAGTTCTTCTCTATGAGTATCAGTGTTTCTGAACTCCTGAAACGCCTCCATAGTAGTCTTGAGTTTCAATATTCTCACAATAATATCAATATCAACACAATATTCCTCATTATAATAATTCATGCTCAGAATAAAGGGGCGGGGCCTGGTTGAGTTAGTTAGTAGTGTGTTGAAACCAAATGAATCTCTCTCTTGAATCCAACACGGAAGTGACTTAAACTGCAGTTCAACGACTGGCCACTAGAGGCCGGCAATCCCATAGACCCGCATGTTAAAACGCCCAACTTTACAGCAGAAACAAATGTGTTTACAGTCTGGTATTAGCTATATCGCTAATGTTGCCCTTCATGACGACTGTGAGGGGGGTGGATTTTTTTCTAACTCATCCGTTTAAATTGTATTAAGCCTTAAAGTTCTGCATAATTAGGGGTGTGGCCACTTGAGTGACAGGTGGATTGCCGCTGATGTCACTACTAGACGTTTGCCTGCTGTCTGTTTGCGTCACCTCAGCTAATTGGCCTTTTTGCTCATTTTCGAGTGACGCGCTGCCAAGATGGCGACGGCCGGCTCCGCCCACTTTAGGCTTCAAAAATGCTCTTCAGAAACCAACGGCTGATGTCACGGACACTACATCCATATTTTTTTACAATCTATGGTTGAAACTGGGGGTTATAGCAAGGGGCGGTACATCTCAAACACACTCGTGCTCGACCAATCACAAGACACTGATCCAGCCGACCAATCAGAGCCCAGTGTGCTTTTCAGAAGGAGGGGCTTCACAGAGACAGGAAGTAAACAGAGCGTTACTGACAGACTGGGAAGAGAGGAGCCGCAACAATGGAGAATATGAGGAAAATAATCAACATTCAAGCAGAAAAGTTTTATTTTAGCACTTTAAGACCTGAAGATGTCGCCCGGAGTGTCAAACGAAGCGCTCTCTCACCTTGAACCTCTTTCTTCTCCTCTTGCTTGTTTGTTTGGGCTTCCACGGTCTTTATTATTTGTCCAGAGCAGCATGCTGGGAAATAAACGTGTTTGGTTAGCTTCACAACACACTGTTGTTCATTTCACAACTGGAGCAATAAGAAAGAGTTTGAAATATGGCAATGATCAAGTAAATGTAGAGCAGAAAGCCTCAAACTGTGGTCAGAGCTTCCCAACACACATCATTCATGAGGAACGCTGAGAGACACACACGATGGATTCAAGAGAAACGCACTACTAAATAATGACAGTATTGTCTTTTTAGAGTTGCAGAATTTGAATTTGTGTCATATTTGATGGTTTGCATCATTGATTCCCAACGTTTATTTCCACGAAGCTGCTTTGAAGCGAAGCAAATGTTGTGAAAGCCAAATTTTACACTGTAATAATGATCTTAATTAAAAAGGCTGATAATTAGTTGATGGTAAGTTAAGTAAAACTGTATAAGATCTAATGGGACATTTCATGCAATTTTACAGTAAAATATTGTTAAATGCACAGGTTTGATTAGTTTTGTACATTAAGGCTTTATTACACAGATTCTGTTGTTAAATTAATATTTGTTGCAACTTTGATTCATCAGTAGATATTACTGAGGAATTTTTAATATTAAGAAGATTTTAGTAATTTAGTATAATGACATTATTTGAGTTAATGAAATGATTTCCTCTGCATGACTGTGTGTAGCGATCTAACCTTGTCCGTTGGGTTTGGCCTTCAGGATGTAGAACATAATGATCATCACTATAGCGATGGCCATGATGAAGATGGTGGACATTGCGATGATGAGGGCCGTTGCTAGATGACCTTGTCCTGTTGGATCTGGAACACAGTAAATAATTCGATGTAGTTCTGAATTATTATTATTAATACTGAATGTTGCAGCTGCTTTATTAAAGGTGCAGTGTGTAATATTTAGGAGGATCTGTTGACAGAAATGCTAAAAATGACACACTGCACCTTTAAAGCAATTAGGCTGGATGTTACAGTGATTTTAAATCTGCTACATTTATATAAAACAGAACGATCCATGTCGTCGGGGATCATGTGATCAGTAATTTCCCAGCATGCCTTTACCTTTTTCCGGCTGCTGGAATACAGTGGTGCTGCTGGACGGCACACTGGGAGCTTGACCCGATGATGGTGGGGTGGATCGCATGCCTTTAAAACAACAAGAGAGTTACAGGTTCAAAAACATCACATAAAGACTCAGCTCCTGAGACTGGCTGATCTATAGGTGTAAAAGAAGACATGATTTAAATGTCGTTCGGTTTTGTTCTAGTCAGAGATTTAAATATCGCCCAGTTTTGTTCAAGTCAGAGATTTAAATGTTGTTCGGTTTTGTTCAAGTCAGAGATTTAAATGTTGTTCGGTTTTGTTCAAGTCAGAGATTTAAATGTTTTTCGGTTTTGTTCAAGTCAGAGATTTAAATGTTTTTCGGTTTTGTTCAAGTCAGAGATTTAAATGTCGTTCAGTTTTGTTCAAGTCAGAGATTTAAATGTTTTTCGGTTTTGTTCAAGTCAGAGATTTAAATGTTGTTCGGTTTTGTTCAAGTCAGAGATTTAAATGTTTTTCGGTTTTGTTCAAGTCAGAGATTTAAATGTTGTTCGGTTTTGTTCAAGTCAGAGATTTAAATGTTTTTCGGTTTTGTTCATGTCAGAGATTTAAATGTCGTTCGGTTTTGTTCAAGTCAGAGATTAAAATTTTTTTCGGTTTTGTTCAAGTCAGAGATTTAAATATCGTTCGGTTTTGTTCAAGTCAGAGATTTAAATGTTTTTAGGTTTTGTTCAAGTCAGAGATTTAAATGTTTTTCGGTTTTGTTCATGTCAGAGATTTAAATGTCGTTCGGTTTTGTTCAAGTCAGAGATTAAAATTTTTTTCGGTTTTGTTCAAGTCAGAGATTTAAATATCGTTTGGTTTCGTTCTAGTCAGAGATTTAAATATCGTTCGGTTTTGTTCAAGTCAGAGATTTAAATGTCGTTCGGTTTCGTTCTAGTCAGAGATTTAAATGTCGTTCGGTTTTGTTCTAGTCAGAGATTTAAATGTCGTTCGGTTTTGTTCTAGTCAGAGATTTAAATGTCGTTCGGTTTTGTTCTAGTCAGAGATTTAAATGACGCCCATATTTTTTTTCCTGATAAGAGATTTGAATGTTTTTTTCTTCCTAGTAAAAAATATAGAGTATGGCTTTCATTTCAGTCAGTTAAGTTTCTGATTACAGGCAGAATTACCATAATGCGATGTCACTCTTAACTGTAGTTGAAAATTACTTAGTTTTTCTTCATTTTAAGTGGATGATAGAGTGTAATTTGTTGCAGCATGGCATTAACTGTATAACAATCCAACATTATATATGGCACTCTAATAGTCTTAATGGCCTCAAACACAAATCTGTCTCTTTAAAAGTGTTTAAATCTACCGGATGAGTGTTTTCAGCCACACAAGTATTGATTTAATTATGACCAGCTGATCTGAAAAGCAAACAACTCCCACACGAATGGCACAATTTGTCAAAGTTCTCATACGTTTGACGTCTTTGCTTATTTCTGTCTCATTAAGAGTGTCAAACACATTGTAAATGAAATAAACGCCGTAAGGATGGTTCTGAAACCCGATCAGTCATCGGCAGAAAGCTGAGGTCGGACTTAGTATTATGTCTCTAGGGCTGTTCATTATAAATCTGATGTCACAGGAGAACAACATCATTAAACAAAGCCCATCTTGTCTTTTTCAATGCACATGATCAGAAGGTTTCAGCTCGATCCCATTAAACGTGACCGGCGACTGAAAACAGCGAAACATGCGATGCGCTTATATTAAAATCACATGTTGGCATGTGTGAGGTCCGCTGGTGGACAGAAAAGAGTTTCACTCGTGTGAAATGCAAGCAGCAGCAAGTTAATAATCTTTTTATTTCCTCAAAACTCTTAATTATTGGACACAACCTGCGCTGCGGGCGAGCATAATTTGCAGATTACCTGGCGAGTGTGAACATGTCTTCACCCGAGCGACTCTCTGCATAGTTTCTGAGCTTTAAAGGGCCCGTTTGTTACCTTTTTTTTAATTAAATATCATTCCCACCTACTTAATTTCTGTCACCACACAATTTAGAAAACAATTAAAGAGGCAGCAAAAACCCCAGGACCGGCGCAGACGTGTTCAAGATGTTCAAAAAACATTTCAGCTTTCAGATTTACACACTGTATATGCAACTAAACTAAAAATTCAACATTAGAATAAGTAATACT